GGAAAGAGTTTACTACTGTGTAATTTTAATTCGGTAATATTTCTTCAGATTGGCAAAATGGGCTTTAAAGGTGTAATTCCTGCTTTAGAACTAGATTGTACACTAGTTGTGCCTTAACTATGCAGTGCTGATTGTGCACTAAATGTACCTCGTTGTGCACTAACAGTGGACTCCAAAGTGATTTTTCAGTACTTTTTCCATCTTACAGATACATAGGTATTCAATGTCTTGTATTTAAGTTACTGTTAGAAATAGTCCTTGTTTTATTTTAATAGTTAAAAAATCAGAACTGTAACTATTAAATCACAGAATCACTGAATCTTCAAGGTTGGAAAAGACCTTCAAGATCATCAAGTCCAACTGTCCGCCTTACAACCCCTAAGCACTAAACCATCTCCCAAAACACCACGTCTTCCTGTGTTTTTAACACCTCCAGGAATGGTGTCTGTACCACCTCCCTGGGCAGCCTGTTCCAATGCCTCACTACTCTTTCTGTGAAGAAGCTTTTCCTAATATCCAATCTGAACCTCCCCTGTCACAACTTGACCCCATTTCCTCTTGTCCTATCGCTAGTCACTGACCTCGCCATAACCTTCTCTCAGATAGTTGCAGAGAGCAATGAGTCTCCTCAAAATACTAATTTTCTGATCTCACAGCTCATATCCAGGTCTTTAGGGGAATGTTAGTACTATTTGTCACACTTTGATAGCGTGCTGTAGCACAGAAAGTTACATGAAATCTCTTCCATCTTTGGTAGATGAGGTGTTCTTGACACTTTAACTCTTACAGATACTAAGAAGGCATCTAAGCTGGAAGCAGTTAAAATTACTACGATGTTTTGACTAATCTTAATTGTGAGCAACCTAGGAAGTTAACAAACATACATAGTGAAAGCGATTTAAAGTGACATTCAGGGGAGCATTGATGAAAAAACAAATTCTGGCAAATACTGCTCTTGAAACTTGACTGGAGTGTTTGTTTCCAAGTATGCTGAGGAGCTCAGAGAGACAGATACACGTCTGACTCTACAATGTGTGTAAACTCTTAAATATATCCCCTACAGCAGCAGTGGTGACTTTTGCTTCCTGTCATCTAGCTTTAGAAGTCCAAATATTTATCTGGCTCAAGTAAGATTGCATTTAAACTGACAGAAGAGGGTATGGTCCACGGGGTAGAACAAGTTAAATGTAAGGAATGGCATTTTGAGTTGGCAATGTCTTATTTGGTATCTTTTCAAAAGGCAAATAAGACTAGCATTTGAAAGAATTGCATATTGAGAAAGAAGGCACTAAAATGAATTATTTGCCCTGAAGTGCAGTTGTGGGGGAGTGAGGAGTGGAATAAGCATTACAAGTTACTGTAAACTGTGAACACTTAAATATATCAACACTTTTTGGGGACTTCTGAAGGTCTAGCATGCATGATTGGCTGTGTCAGACTTAGAAAAATGGTAGGTATTGTAGGTAGCTTCAGCAATATATGGCTTCTCAGCAGACACTGGAGGAAATACTTTAGGGGAGCCTTTTATCTTAAGAGCACGTTTCATTAAAATGCCATGGAATTCAGACCATGTTATGTGCTGTTGTGCTTTATTTTGCAGGTATTTTTTAACTGATAGAAAGCTTCAGTCCCAGTATGAAAATACAATGTGCATTTCAAGAAAGAGATTATGAAAGGAATTTATAGGAGGTTGTAATTCTATGTATTCTATCAGAAACTGAAGATGTGAAGTGCCTCTTAACTTGTCTCTTCTATGCCTCCTTACCTTTGGAAGAAGAGTGCTGCAATTTAAAACCAACCCTTTTCCTGGAGCTTCGACCCCATTGTCATTCATTGCCCTCATGTCGCCTGCTTTCTGATCAGAAGGAGCTAAGAGGTCACAGAAGAATCAAGAGGTCATTTTGCCATAGAACTGTACTTGAAAGGAATATATTTATTGGTAGTGTTGAAGCAAGAATATTTCCATGGAAAAGCAATACTAATTCACATGTCATTTTGTTAAAAATTAAGAGGCTTATCATTTTGGTGGATTCTGTCATTTTCACCATAGGTGGACTTGCTAACCAATAAATACACTAAAATTGTATTAGAATGCTTAGAACTTTTAATGCCAGAAGTATTAAATGTTGTTTTCTGAATGTTTTTTTATCCTGTTTTTCCTGTAGACTTTTCAAACAGTGGAATCCTCTGAAGATTTAAAGCTTCCTTTTTGCAAGCAGGTGTGCATGTAGAATGGCAGGAAAATCTTGGTTCCATAGATTTAAGTGAGGTTGCGTTTCAGCTGTCACCACTCAGGACTGTTTTTGAGCTGAAATCAGTATGAAGTGAGTACTGCCAAAAATTTAATGGAATGGATACTGTGTTGATTCCAAGCTAGAATTTTGGGTTCAACATTGTTATATAACATTTCAACGCTGTCCCCGAGGCAGAGGGACTGCGGCCGCTCACATCCTGAGACTCTGCCAAGAAAGAGGAGCCTGAGCCCGCCCCGGGCCCCGGGTGGGATGGGGCTTATGTCCAACACGGGCATCTCTGCCTCGGTGGTGGGGAGAAGGCTGGGGAGGGGAGCAGGCTGGGCAAGAGAGGGCTGAGGCAGCCCAGCCCCAGTCGCTACAAGCACAGGCCTTCGGGAGCAGCGCGAACAGGTTGTGGTGCAGCAGTTCACGGTGGCAGATGGTGCCAAGTGGTGTCCCTCAGAGGTCTGTATTTGGATCAGTGTTTGCATCTTTTTAATTTTTTTCAAACTGTGTGTGAAGACTGTGCTTGCCAGTCTAAACAGATATCCATGCAAAATGATGATCATGTTAAAGTGTTTGGATAGTAGCAAGGAACACAACTTGCTTCCATCCCATTTCTACACATCTTTCAAAATAACATAGTACATTCCTAATGTAGTAGTAGTGAAACTTGGAAAATGAAACTTGAGGATTTTGAAAATAGATACTAGAGTTGTTTTTCAAGCAAATGCTTTACAAATCTCCCACTGCTACACCCTGCTGCTGTTTGCTAGACTTTTCCATTAGAGTGCAGTCAGTAGAGCCCTAACATGCAAAGCTGCAGTCCTGCTGGGCTGTTTTTCTTCCCAGCACACACAATTTTTGAGGCCTGAGAAAGTCTCTGAAACCTTACCCAGAAAGAGCCTTTGGAGTGGTTCTACTCCTGATCCAGCTCACCAACTGTTCTTCAGCTTAACATTTACAGAAGTAATAGTGTGTTCTACTGTAACAGGTTCTTCACTTCCTACTAAAGACCCAACTTTAGAAAAGTAGAAAAAAACTACTTCATTACCGAATAATATGGGATTGCAGGTTTATGAACTTAGGCAGTTCAGCCACTCTGTTTTATACCATGACTTAGTGGGTTTGATGGCAGAGAAAGCCTTTTCCAGTGCTGCTGTTATATGGGGAGCTGTGAATTTAAAAACACACTTTTGAGGTTCATAAAGTACAAGGAAAATTATTACCAGTGATTCGTAAATCCACACTTGGCACAATTTAATCTCCTAAGGTAGATGTCGCCCAAGAGGCTAGTGTGTGACAAAAATAAAGAAATGGCTGCCATTATTTCCATTCCAGACTAGCAACCTCTTGAATGTAAGGCTGCTTTGAGAGGACTACTGGTTTTTATTTGTATGCCTTTCTGAATCCACAGCTGTTGTTTCAAATCAGAACTGCTGAGATAGTTTCATGAGCTTCTGAGCACAACTGTTTCCAGCCAACCTGGAACTTTGATTTCTGGTACTTCCAGACACACTGCCTTACCTTAGAAACCATGTTTCCTGACAACTTCAAATTACAGTGACATTCTTAGGATAAAAGCCTTGTGGTTTCCACTAAGGACATTGCATTTCACAGTGCATCTATTGGAAGTTCTTCTAGCACAGAAGACAACAATCTCTGCTGCATCAGAAGGCAAAGATGTGTTGGCTCCATATCAGTTTGAAGAGAAGCTGAGCTCCTCCACTTCAGACTACATTACTCCTACACTTGAGACTTTGTGAGAACAAAGCATTCCCACAGCTGCTTCTGTCCTAGGGGCAGGAGCTGGGGTCTGTTGCCTTTTGTGGGAAACATGTAAATTCCTTCATTTTTTATGTGAAAGATTAGAGTATGACTCATGCAAAAATGGCCAGCTGATCTGCAGCTCGTTTGCAGTCACTGTGATCATCAGTAGCCTGTCACTACACCTCGCTCTGATCCAGCCTGGAACTGAGTTAAGATTGCTCAACTTTATTGATGCAGGTCTAACAAAAATGTCTTCTCTCTGCAGTGTAGTTGTTACATGGGTCCTGCTCTGATGTCTCATCCCTGTTGTCATATGTTCTATGCTGCACACTGGTTGGCACTTCTGAGCAGTCAGCAGAGCGTTTGGTATGTACTCATTCACATGACATATTTAATCTTTTTATATTGAGTGAGTGAAAAGGGCTGTCATAAATAAAGCCCATGTTTTGTGATGATGACAGCAAGATTGCACAAGGCATAGATCACTGACAGTGAATTTAATTATTTGTAATTACAAGGGATTGGAGTGCCAGTATTGCTGGCTAAACACATTGTGTGTTAATAATCCTAACAGTCTCTGAACTCAGAACTCACATGGACAGAACAGATTTATGCATGTGACATTTAACATGAAGTGCAGATTCAATTGCATGAGGAGTGATGAAATGCAAGCATATTTAGAAAAAAATAACTCTTAACATGCAGCAAGCCTCCTGGCATCCTCGTGTGCTTTGGGATAGTCTAGGCCAAATTTGGATGCCATCTTCATCTTCAGTAAGTGAGCTCTGTGCCCAGTTTCCCTGTGATAGGGAAACCCTGAGCAGCTCCTTTCTAGAAAAAAAAAAGTACCTTCCAAGCACCTGTTACACCTACAACAGCTGGTGTTCATACAAGGAAATAGTTGGGGAAATAATCCATGTGAAAACAGTTTTGATTTCTCATAAGAAGCTTGAGACTTTGTGTGGACAAAGCATTCCCACAGCTGCTTCTGTCCTAAGGCAGAATTATTGCTTAAAGAGTGCAGGGGAAAAAAAGCACCAACCCTGGCTTCAGTTTTTGAGGAGCATGTAGTGTTCTAGTTCTCCTCAGTCATCTTTGGATTTCACATCATCACAGGTATACCTAGCAGGCTGGGACTTGGGAGGTATTTTTACCAGCATGCAAAACTCATAGAGAATCTCAAAAACAGAAGAGATAAATCATGTAAAACAGACAACCTAAAGGAAAAGCCCAACTGGGATCCCTACTGATTCATTAATCACTGAGATTTGCCTGGTAAGGGAGGCAGGGAATAATGGTGTTTGAGGCTGAACTTGTAGCTAGAGCACACCATGGTGTTTGAGTCACCTTTCTATCCCCAGCTGCAGAATGCAGGCTTGACAGTACATGCAATTCCAGAAGGAACTGGAGCTAATGGAATCCACAGCTACATCTTGTGGCTGAAGAAACAACTTTCTCTAAAGATGCTGAACAAAAGGCATCTTTGTTCCCTGCCCACATGCCCACTTTGGGTGGATGAAAGCTTCACTTAAATAGAAGGATAAATATTTTGTTCCTTATGTAGTAAGTATATACAATATGGAATATGAATGTATTACCTAAAACCCAATTATAAAATAAATTTAGAACCAAAGACATAGTTTGATGGACTAGGAGAGAATTTTTTTATCTAAAACCAGCCTGATTTTAAGTTAGTACAGAATATTTTTCCTCCAACTGTGAACACAAATAAAATACCAATTAATATCAGGTAAATTATAACATAGGAATGACTACAAAATTGCATACACTGGATTTATTGAACAGTAACTGTTTACCCAATTTTGGAATTTCACAATACTTAATTTTGTGGGCTACTGGCATTCATGCTAGTTTTAATTTAGTGACACTTTATTCACAGTTATGAAATAAGTAAACTCTGCAAGTACTCAGACTGTGCAAGAACTCGTATCTTAACACAGCTGAACAGAGAGCAGCTGCTCTAAATGAAATGTCATATTTAAAATGTTTTACTTTATTAGCAATAAATTAATCTGTGGCATCACTGATCAACAGGACACTAAAGATAATGTATCACTATGTACATACTCATCAGAAAGGCAACATCATCACTACCTTCATAAAAATTGGAGAAATGTTAATTAACTTATATATACATAGATCACTTTCAACCATATGAACAACACTAAGCAGAAGAAATGTACTTCCAAGCTTCTCCAATTTTTCTATTTAAATAAGGCAATAATTAAAATCATAGCATCACAATAACCTACTTCAAACTCCAGATATTGAGTCCTGACATAATGCAGTGCTCAGAGGAGAATGTACTAAAATAAATGCTTGGATTTGCACTTTGGTCCTTCATTGTGTAAAATTAAAAAAAAAACAAACCACAACAAAAAAGGCCAAAAAATAGCACAACAAAAATCAAACCACAAAATCCCAACTGTTCCAGATTCCACCGTCAGGAAAAACAAAATAAAAGCTTCTGGGAGAATCCTAATTGACAAAACTATTCTTTCAGCCCGTGGCACCATTTGGAATATCTTGAGCATCTGCTAAATGTAGCTTTTGGCTGAAGGAAACCATTAAGGAGTAACATTTTCACATACAGATAAGGTATAAGCAAGATAGCAGTGTTACAGGATATGCTCAGTCCTGTGACAGGTATGCACTAGTCCAGATGAACTCAGTTCTATTAAGTCCTGTGCTAGTTCTCAACCAGTAGATTAATCTTCCTCAGTGAGACTTAAGCATTACACACCTCTGGAATTGGCTGGCAGATCAAGGGGGAGTGGAAGATTACTTTTATCATTATGATGACATTCCACTTGTGTTCTTTATGAGCCTGGCATGAACCAGCTTTCCACAGTCACAGAGAATGTGCACACTAGTCTCAAGCCAGAGTTCCATCTTCCTCAGTGCACACCAAGGGTGTAACATCAGAAATAACTACACTGCAGTATAACTGGGTTTGTTCAGCCTTGAGAAGAGAAGGCTTAGGGGAGACCTCATAACCATGTTCCAGTACTTGATGGAGACTCCCTATTTACAAGGAGTCACGTGGAAAAGACATGGGGTAATGGGCAAAAGTTTCTCCTGGGGAGATTCTGACTGGACACAAGAGGTACATTTTTCACCATAAGGACAGTCAAATATTCAAACGGTCTCCCAAGGGAAGTGGTAGATTCCTCCACATTGGACAGTTTTAAGTCTCAGCTTGACAGGGTGCTGAGCCATAAACTTCTAGTAGTACCTAGAAAGGTTGGACCAGATGATCCTTGAGGTCCCTTCCAAACTGGCATTCTATGATTCTATGATAAACTGAATGCAACACTCAACTGTGTTCTTAGCTTATCAAAAGAATGATATAACAGACACGCCTACACCATTTAGCTTTATCTTCTTCTGGGTGGGCAAAGAGCACACATTTGTTCAATTACCAAAGCTCTGCTCAAGTATTTAACTCAACCCTAGTCTGACCCTAAAAAACAGGAAATTAGGTCAGTCCACTACTCACAGTAAAATCAGTGACATATTTACAGAAAAAAACCCTAAGAGTCAATAACATTCACTTATCAATGGGACACAAGACTTCTGAATACTGTAGAAGGAATATTACTATCAATGTTTGTTCCATAATGTCTCAGCAACAGACCCTGCTTCTGACAGGCTTTGCCACTGACTGTCAACTGGTACATGAGAGCTAAATAAATGACCATATGAAACAACAGCCTGTAACTAAAAGTGTTAAGATCCAGTCATGTATGTATTGGAAGAACCTAAAATCCACATACAGTAGGGATATGACTCTTGTAAAGACACCAGTTGAGAAATAAGACTGTAATTTGATTACAGTTAACAATAATAACAATAATGCCAAATAGACATTTAAGGAAAAGGATACATAGATGAATTCAGTTCTTCTAGCTGCAAAACAAACGTACTAAGTATTAGAAATGGCAGTTCAGTTAGTCAAACAAATGCAACAATTATGTTTATATGATTAAATAAATACATTACAAGGTATTTATTTACAATACAACAATGAAGAAAATTATTAATAGCTTGGGCTGAAAGGTGTAATTTTACTACAAAAAGCAAAGCAAGCCTGCACTGAATTCTACACCAAGAGAGCTAAGTCTCAAATTAAGTTTAAATCTGCCAATCTCAGGAAGCTTAAAGAAATTTTTACAATTTTGGTTTTCATAGAAATACACTGGAGAAAGGAGACAGTGGAAGTGTAGAATATACAGATATAAAAACATTGTGTGGCTTTCCCCAGATGCAAGAGGATGGATCACAGGGAAAATGGTTGTAGTTCCCTGGTCTCTGAACAGGCCTACATCCTCAGACAGTTTACAGCTAAACTGCTTCACTCTCCAAAACAAGCAGCAGCCTAGAAAAAAGAAAGCCAAGTCCTGTGTTTTCTCAAAACCAAGATGAGGGCAGGGCTTATGTCCTGGTTCGTTACAGAACCATGTTGTCCACAGCAGTGGTGGTTTCCTAAACCGATTGCTATGGGCAAAGTTGTGTGTGTTCTGCCTTCCCAGTACTTACATCTGACAGCAGCCTATCCAGGTTGGAGTCACTGGCTAGTTTCCTTTTATCTTCAGGGAGTTCTTCCAGCTCCCCATAGAGCTCCAGATTGAGGCGAGCAAGTTTCTCCTGCATGCTCCGCACGTGCTCCATCTGCTCTATGGAACATTCATTTCCTAAAAGGATGAGCAACAGTTTCAGATAAAGAAACCTGAAAGAACAAATGAAGGCGTGAAGGTACAGCTTTTTGCATTGAAGGAGAGGAATTTTAACACCCAATTTACAAGTTCATTTGATTTCTCAATAATTTCTCCCATTTCACTACTGAAATTTCTGTCATCCTGTTGGGTGTTATGTGCTGAACTTATGATAAACTGAATTTCTCTCCAGTTTAGGAAGGCCCTATACTTTTAAATTTAAGTATGATCACAATAAACCTTCTTGGGGATTCCTTTCTTGTAACTGATGCTTTATATAATGCAGGCTTTTCAGGTTCTCTTGTAGAATTGGTGTGGAATTAACATGACAGACTGACCTAACACTAAACTTCAAAAAGTATTTATGCATCTTTCTACACAGTATATGGAAAAAAAAAATAGAAGCAGAAGAGTGTCATGTTTTTTTTTTCTGAAACTTCCATCAACTGTGAAGCAGTAAGATGCTATGACAAGAGTAAGCTGGGTAAAATGCAACTTGCATTGGATTCCATAGGAGTGGTTACCAAGAGTCTGAAGTGTTCATATGCTGCAAAATCAGGTGTCAAATACAGTTACTTTTTATTATTCCTATACTATCATAAATAGCTGACCTTAAACTTGGTATCTTAAATCTCTAAGCCAAGGTACTGCCTTTGGTATGCCACACTGGAAGAAACAATGAAGTGGCATTTGAATCATTTCACACCAAAGATAACCCTGCAATAGGACTACCATTTTGAAATGCAGTAAGATCTATTGAGTTATGTTAATCCTCATTTTATATAGCAGAACCCAATGTGATAAGCTGGCAGTCTGTCTATACAGCACACTTGTTTGCAAATGTTACCCTTGTACATCTATAAAACAAATTATTGTGTACAGACAATTCACACAGTTACCAAATGCTTGAAGTTTGCCAGAGTGGAAGTCATTCAGGAGACTCAGAAGTCCCCTTTCCATTTCTTGGACATCTGATACATCTGTGAGAAAAGAATGCTGGATCGGTGCTGCCTGTGCCCCTTTTGCTTCACCTCCTGGAGGTTTGGCTTTCTCTTTAATTACACTGAAAAAAGGAATAATTAAACAAAACAAAAATATTACTTCCTGCTTTCACTGAGAACCTGAAATGTACGGTAAGTGTATATCTGGGCTTTGAAAACGAAATGGAAAGTAAGTAATTCATATTTCGGTCACTCCTTTGAAATGAAAAAAGCCATCAGGATCACTAGTTTGTCTCAACGATAAAGAACAACATTACTATCTTAACAGTTTGATACTGCAAAATGAAGGATTCCAACAACCTGCTTTCCTGCATCAGCAGAACATGTGTATGTAACAGTCATTTTAATAATGTGAGGAGGACCATTACCCAACAACAACACATGGCACACAGGGCAGTTACATAAAATCACCCAAAAAGCTTCCACAAACTTTTTAAGACAGAGAGAAAAACCTTCAGCAATCATTACGCACCTGCTGTCACAAACACCTATAGACTGCACCCAGTGTGGGAAACAAACCTATGCAGAGTGCTGATCTTGATTCCAGACAAATTTTCCTAGTGTTCCTTCTTCCCACATTCAAATAACATCCCAATTTCTTAAAACTCACCATCAAAAGCAATCTCTCTGTCCTCTAGCATATATCAAATGGAACTAACCCATGCCCAAACAAATCTTAAATGTGCTAAAAATTCTCTACAGCCCCCTCTGCAACAAACCCATACAAATTCCTGCATCCCATACTCTAGACAGTTCTCTAGACATAAAATTTACTCAACACTGTGTGCCCACAGAAAGTACACACATCAATCTTAATAACCATTATAAATCCAAATGAACGTGCAATTGATATGGAAGCTAAACACACAAATATCAGTCAGAAGCAGCATATTCTATCTCTGACCAGAGACAGACAGAGAGACTGCATCCTAAGCGAGTACAATTCAGGTAAGGGGCTGTTTTCATCCTGGATTTGGCCATCCATGTGTGTACACAGCCTTCTTCTCACACTGTGATAGCTGCTTCTGCAGCCTCATGATGAGTCTGAAGAGTCTGTTCAGATACTTATCTGGTAAAAAATTTTGAGCCTAAGAATTAAAGTTTAGAATACTATGGGATATTTTTTCTAAAAAAAATCACAGGCTTAGTAAAATCTTTATTTATTTAGTGAAGATAATAATGTTTATAGCATAGTACCCCCCACCCTTCCCTTAAATAATCCCATGCTCTCCAAATCAAAAAGTCTCTCTCTCCTATGGGAAATAATTCTTTTTCCAGCCTAACAGCTTCTGCAGTCTATAAACATTGTATAGACTATGTAGTCAATATGCTGGAACAACTAACGGTCCAACAATTACTATATCTGGTTCAACTCAGAGCAACATGTCTCAATTCAGGTTTAACTTCAACTCTTTCTGCCTCTATTTCAGACTTGAAGACAGGTTTGTATGCCAGAGATACCAATTTTTTTTTCCACCTGTAGCTGAAGTGTAATATAATATATTATTGCTTCTGGAAAATTTAATTATATTCTTGCAGATGAAGTGAAAATTAGTAAAATACTCCCACTCCCCTATTGTAACAGCAGTTCATCCTCATATTGTTATGTCAATTACCACTCCTGCTTGGAAAGTTCAAGAAATTGTATTACCACTGCTTGATAAGCTTGACTTAACAACTTAACAAGAATGTCCTTTTCCACATCTTAAACCAAGAGGATATTTTCTTCTCTAGCCAATATTGTAGGCTACAATAAAGGAATTTCTAGTACACTCCAGAATAGTGTTGAAACTTAAACTGTATAGTTAGCTGCAGCAATTTATAGCCCATTAGTATTTATTTCCCTCAAAATATTAGCATATTTTGCCTGAAAAATAATGTGTAGACTTTACATTGCATAAATTCTTTATTCATCAGGGCAATACTGGATCCTTCAAACAGACTATCTATGCTATTAACAACAGCTCAGTATTTTATCTTCAGACTTGCGGGTTATGAAACTTGGCTGCCTCTCTCTAGCTAACATTTTTCTTTAGGATCTTTAGGATCCCTCTTCCCTCATTTATCTACTGTATCTGCCACAGCCAAAAAATATATTTTCTAACATGCAGGAAAATTAACATTCTCAAACTGAAACAGATGTATCATCAATAACACTCAAAGTATCCTACAGAGGTACTTTCTGAAAAGCTGAATGCTTCTCTCTGCACATGAGTATGTCCAGAGAGCTACTGCTGCCCCCAAACAGAAAACACCCAGGAATTCCAGTTCTGGCTCATCCTGTTCAATCTACATCCTTCATTTCCTGTTCCACTTGACAGTTCCAACCTTGCAGTCATTCAGTGTTGTATTTGTTCCTCACAGCTGTACGTATCTCCCATATGATGCCCAGATTTGCCTGTATTTGATCACCCAACTCTTGTCTTTCAACAGTCACATCAGGCTATTATTACATCTTCAGCAAAATTATTAAAAGCCTACAGCACTGTATAACATTTTATAAAGCTTAAAAGAATGGTATTTAGTACCTTCCTTTTCTGTAAAATAACCATTATGTTCCTTTGCTTACAAAGGCAAGTAATCAAACATTTTCACAAGTCTGAAGCTTGTTCTTTGCACTCTGCCCCAGCCAGCCTGACCACTTTTTAGGCTGGCTGAACACTGGCAGATTCCAGGCTCTTACTTCCACTGAGCTTGCAAGATGTTCCCAAGCTTACCGTTTTAACTTTGGTTTTTGTACTGCAGGCTGTGGTGCAGGATTTGAAAAGGCTGTGCTCTTACTGACCGGCACCGAGTTCTTCTTGGAGCCAGCAACCTGAGCAGGGTGACTGGTAGATGACTTGGGGCTCCTCCTCTTGATTTTTCTTTCTTCCATTTCTTCCAGTTTACTGCATCTAGACGAATTTATTGTCCTCCAAAGGGAAAAAATAAAAGAAAAAAGAAACATCCCTCAAAACTGGCATTTACAACAAAAAAGCAGGGGGAAAAACAGGTCACAGTGCGCGGAAATCCAGCTTCAAAGAGGAGCTGTCACTCATTTCTACAAACAAGAGTATCCAGTTTCCAGAAGCTGCCCACGCCTGCCCGATTAGCAACACAGGTAAGAATTAACCCCTTCTGCATCAGCGCCTGCCACAGGTACATACGAATGGCCTGGAAGTTTGCGTCCCGCGGACTGTTGCCAGAAAACACGGTGACTCCTCCAGCCCACACCAACCAAAACACGGAGCGGCGCTGGCGGCGTCAGAACGGCCTGAACCAGCCCCGCC